GGCAGTGCTCAGAGGACCATACGGGATGCTGAGAATTGAACCTGGGTCGACCGCGTACAAGGCAAATGCCCTACACACTGTACTATCACTCCAGCCCTGAGACAACAGGGGTTAAAGCACCTACCTGCCTTGCATGCAACTGGCCCTGGTATGATCCTGGCACCGAATATGTTCCCCTGAGCACCATTAGGAGTGACCCCTGAACACTGAGTCAGGATTATCCCGCGAGCAATGCCTGGTGTGGGTCCCTCCAAAAATCCCACATTACTTTTATTGATGTGTGATCCCTGACACCACAAATAAATAAATAAAGCTTCATAAATGGACATGATCCTTGGCCAGCAGCTCAACCAAACAGATGAACAAGCACTATAGCCAGAAGTTCGAGCCTGGCAAGCACATGTAGGAACACTGCAGTATGCCCTGTCAAGAACCACAACCAGTATCTGTGTGCTTCAATGATAAATAAACACATGTGTGACCACAACTGAAGGAGTACAAATCTGGAGGGGGCACCATGGCCAAGTATGTAAGCACCGCCTTGTGCTATGTGACTCCCAGCCAGACCTGAAGGCAACCCTGGTCACTGCAACATCAATAGCAATGAAGGAGGTGGGAGAAAGTTGAAGAAAAACAGCCACAGATGATGAACTTAAAAAGCACCTGGAGGAATATACAACATTACTACAGATGTATATAGTAGTTTGTTTGGGGACCACACCCTGCAGTGCTTGGGAGAGGGGGTGGGGGGTCACTCCCAGTGGAGCTAGGGACCCCATACAGCCATGCAGTGCCAGAATATGAACTCAGGCCTCCTGCATGCAAAGCATGTACTCCAGCCTATTCAGTTATCTATCTGGTCCCATATATATAGTTTTAGAACATAAAAATTAGGGGCTCACTATGCTCATGGCCAAAGTCCACAGGTTCAGATGAGCCTCATCCATAAGTGAATTTGCTAAAAAATTCAGGTATGTGGGTTTTGTAACCAAAATCTCTAGGTTTGCAAAGAGTCAGGAATGGGCAACGTCCCCCCATCTCCCTGTTCTTCCAGGAGCCTGGCAGTCATACTCACGAACTTCCTCTGGCACCATGTGAGCTCATTAATGGCATGATCCAGAGACTCACAAATAGACCTCAGAAGAGCACAACAAGCTGCAGAGATGCCTCCAGACCCCAGAGTCACCATTCAGTTAAAAATTTAACTCCAATTGTATCACCTTCTTTAAAATTTTAGAATTTCTGAAATGCACAGCTGCATTTGTGGCCACACGACATCTCATACTCTATACCACTGATTACCAGGAGTAGCACACCACACTGGATGAAATGTAAAGTAGAAGGCAACAAATCTCAAAGAAAAATTAGCACACAAGGCTCAACCTGTAACAACATGTGAGTAATCTCTTAAACAAGGGTTTAATGAAATACAACAATATTCACATACTTTCCTCAAAGGAAACCTTTTGGGATCATTTTTAGCATTATTATTCACAAAAAGCAATACAAAATAGACTATTTAGATCCTGGGGGGGAAAAGAGTCTGTTTGACTTTGTAGTAAAGTCATGTTTGAGCTGTGTATTAAGTTTTAAAACTTAAAAAACAAAATAATTAGGGGCTGGAGTCATGGTACAGTGGGTACGGTGCTTGCCTAGTTTGAGGTCAACCTTGGTTCAATACCTGGCATCTTTTATGGTAGCCTGAGCACCACCAGGAGAAATTCCTAAATGCAGAGGCAGGAGTAAGTCCTGAGCACTGCTACGTGTGGCAAAAAATAAAAATAAAAAAATTATACTACATATACTTTAGTGAAGTAAAATAGTTTTATTTAAGCAGTATGAGGGAGAGAAGAGTAAACCTCATATAGTAAAAGAAAGGAATTATACCCCAAATTGAGATGTGGGCAATTCCAATTTCCAAAATGAAATGCCTATTAGTGACATATACACAGCAAAAATGAAAGCTGAAAACACAGAGAAATAATAAAAGCAAAAATCACTGAAAAAACTTTTGTGGAGGAGGGGAGAGAAATGGCATATTGGAAGGACACAGAGAAAGGTCTGAACCAATAGTATAGCAGGTAGGGTACAGGGTGCTGAGCAGGGTGCAGTGCACCCAGGTTCATTCCCCAGCATCCCTTGTTCCCCCCCCCCGCCCCCCCCCCCCCCAAGCACTGCCAGGAGTGATCTCTTTATGCAGATCCAGAAGTAAGCCTTGGGGCTGGATCAATAGCACAGCACGTAGGGCATTTGCCTTGCACACGGCCGACCAGGGTTCAAATTCCAGCATCCCATATGGTCCCCTTAGCACCGTCAGGAGTAATTCCTGAGTGCAGAGCCAGGAGTAACCCCTGTGCATTGCCAGGTGTGGCCCAAAAAGCAAAAAATATAAAAAATAAAAAATAAAAAAATAAAACAGAAGTAAGCCTTGAGCACTGCCAGGAGTGGCCCCCAAAACAAAACAAAACAAAAAAAAAGAAGGACCCAGAAAAGACTTCAATTATATGTGGGCTTTTATCTCTTAATTAGGAAGTAGAAATATACGTATTCATTATATCACTCCCTATAATTTGGAAATGAACTCTATCATAAGTAAAAGTTCAGAATGCTAAATAACACTAGAGCACCTGACCTGCAGAAAATGAGGCTGCACATTCAATTCCTCATCATGCTGCTAAGTACAATGCTGGATAGCACAGACATTTTAATTGCTGGTTGCTCAAGGGACATGGTATCTGGTGCGCTGCAAAGATAGGGTACGCAAACCCCAGCAAGCACAACAAAGTGTGAGCCCCACAGTCAAGTGCACAACCTCCATTCATCTCAACAGCCACAAACAAGGGCAGGGGAGAGGGAAAAAAAAACAACAACTCTGTATAGACTGGTTTTACAAACAAAAAAATGGAAAAATATCAATATATTACTTCACATTTAGAAAGTCCAGATAGGGTGAGAGTGATAGGACAGTGGGTAGGGTGCTTGCCTTGCATGCAGCTGACCTAGAATTGAACCCTGGCACCCCATATGGTCCTCCAAGTCTTGCCAGAAATCATCCCTGAGTAGTCAGGAGTGAACTCTGAACACTGCCAGGTGTGGCCCCAAAACCAAAGCAAACAAACAAAAAAACCTCAAAAAACAGGAAGACCAGATAAAAGGTAGAATTCAGGGATTTAGATGTATTAAGCCTGAGAAGCAGAGATGACAACAATCTAGGTCTAGAGACAGTACAGAAGGTAGGGTATATGCCTTGCATGCAGCTGATCTGGGTTCAATCCCCAGAACCCCATATGGTCCCTGGTACCACCAGGAATAATTCCTGAGTACAGAGCATGGAGTTACCCCTGAGCATCACTGTGTGGCCCCAAAACAAAAATAAAAACAAAGAGATGACAAGAATCTAACAGAGTTGTAAATACAGAGATGGTGTTTGGGAGATGAGATTTGGGGGTTAGTGAATAAAAACAGAATATTTGAAAAGAGGGAAGATCACCAACAAAAAGATGATTAAGGAAGATGTGGGTATGGGAAAGCTTTTCCAGAGCAAGTAGAGAATAACTTAAGGAACTGTAAAAATTAGAATGAGGAATGCCTAACAATAGATGGGTCACCAAAAGATAAGAGAAGGTATGAGGCAGGGAAGAGAACATATGAAGAGAGACCGTATCAAAAGGCACTAAGACCACATCACAGGCCTGTCTTTGTGCAAGTTCTGGGCAGAGTAAGAACTTCCCGAAAACATGTCTATTTCAGTAAGCACATACTAATCCTATCCCTTTCTGACACCTCCTATTTCGTTCATCCATGCATCATTATTCATTAAATACTAAAATATCTTGTGGGCACCAAGGCTACTGAAAGGTGTCTTCAGAGTGCTTAGGTCACAAAAGAGGAGAGACTGTAATCAAGTACTCAGACTGAGGAATGTAAAATCCTGACAGTGTGTTATCCTTAACATAGAGCCTGAGCTGGCATAAGGAAGTGCTGAGTCCTCCTTCTTTCAGCCGCATATCCTGTGCCTTCCTGATCAGATCAGAAGACCAGAGGACACTGGTTTTTACGTATATGATCCATTTTCTTCTAAAACCTTCTCCAATGATCCAGCTGAATGCCTTAAAATAAAGAGACACTCAGTTTCTGCTTATTTTATAAAGAGCTTAACAATCAAAAGAAAAAAAAAGAAAAAAAAACAGTATAGGTGTTAAGAAGCTAAAAAGCAATCTTTGAACAAGTTAGTGTGTGTGTCCTCTACCCACATTCCAAATACTTAGCTTGGGAATGCTCAGAATTATTCTCAAGGGGGAGTCAGCAAAAGCATGAGAGGATTGAATCAAATCATTTTCACGCCTAGAAAGACAACTGGAAGTATACTCTCCACCAACAGTAAAACCATGCAATAATGTTATTTTGCAAATGTAAAACATTCAGGGGCTGGGAGATAGTTTAAAGGGTTGGAGGGGAGGGGGTGCTGGAGAGCGAGTAGGGCGCTTGCCTTGCATGCAACCGACTGATGTTGGATCCCTGGCACCCTACATGGTGCTCTGAGGCCCAGCAGAAGAGATTCCTGAGCATAGCTGGGTGTACACCAAAAGAAGCTAAAATAAAATTAAGAGCTGGAACGCATGCCCAGAATGCAATGGGTCCTGGGTTTGATCCTTGGCACCACATGGCTTCCCGAGAACCACTGGTTATAGCCCTGGTGATCCTCAGCACCACAGGGAAGGCCAAAAAGAAAACCAAAACAAAATACATTCGTCGTGGGCTAAAGGGATAATACTGGAAAACACCTAGCATGTGGCTAACCTGGGTTCAATCCCCAGCCCCCAATATGGGCCCCCTAAGCATGCCAGGGGTAAACCCTAAGTGCAGAGCCAGGAGTAAGGTCTGAGCACAGCTGCAGTTGGTTGTGATGGAAAAAAGAAATTCATAAGGCAATTGGCTATGATAAAAAAAAAAAAGAGAGAGAGACTGGCAACAATGAAAGAAACATCACAGATACTTACATCACGAAACTGCACCTTTCCTAGTTCTCCTAATTCACTGACGCAACAATAAGCAGCTTCAGACTGTAGAAAAAGCTGGGCCAGCGTCATCTCCTCGCTCCGGAAAAGCTCCCCCATGGCGGCAGAGAATACCAGTCAACTGAGTGTGTGTATTTCTCTGGAACCTAAGGCAAAAAGAGAAAATTACATGACATTGGAAGTTGCTGAAAGGGTTAAGAACCAACCACAGTCCCGGAAGTGCATTTCCCTGCTTTTATCCCATGCTGACAGCTTTCTAACCACTGTTTTGACATCCTGCTTCGAAAGATGGAAAGGAGAAACTGCAAAGGCTGCTGCTGCTGAACCCTCTCCCACAGAGCCTGATGGAAAGCCACTCACTTCCTCCGCAGTCAACATCAAGACCAAATGTCAATATTTGGGACATCTCAATAAATGAGAACATTTCCAGATCAAAACAGGACATAGGAATCACCAGCAGCTCTTGAAATATTCAATGCAGGGCCGGAGAGAGATCACATATTTTACATGCTGGAAGCTCAAATTTCATCTCCAGCCCAGAGTTGGGAGTAGTCCCTGAGCATCACCATGTATGACCAAAAACACCAACCCCTAAAAAACAAACACCCCAATACACAATATCATGGGGTAGTGACAGAGTCATTGCTGTCTTTTCTTTTTCTTGTTTTCTTTCTTGGTTGAGTCAGAAAACAAACAGCAGAGCCCTGGATTACCATCTCATTCATAATGGATGCCTCTGTTAAGGACTAGTTTTCTCTCCGCTCACTGATCATTTTCAACAGCCCAAGCACCAGCACTGTCTTAAAGCTGTAACTACCTTAAGGGTTTAACCTACCAAACCTTTAAAATGCACTACTTTCTCCCCGGGGTCTCTAAATACATAAGCATTACCTAAAAGGCCAAAATAAAAGAAAAAAAAATCTAGCTTCATGCTAAGCTGGTATCAAGCATGACAATATGGATGACAAAGCAATTTCATCAAGGCACAGAGAATTCGCTTTCCACCTCCGCTGCCGCTTCTCATCCCCACATTCAAGGTTAATTACATTCTTTGACTTCTCTACCACCAGCCCATCGCAGTTTCGTTTTTAGGGTAGTCTTATCGTGGCCGGTTATGAAAAACAATTGGCGCTATCAGTGGTCCTGAAACTGCAATTATTTATTTTCCGCCAGCTATAGCGAGGTAGAGCGCAGACCGGGCAGGACGACCCACCGCGTGTCCTTTCTAGCATGAGGACCTCCTGATGGAGATGTCCTGACAGTCAAGCCTCGCAGGAAGAGCGATGATGCCTCGGGAAGGCGGGGAGACATTTTGAGAGAAGTCTGACAAAAAACCTTTGTGCATTTCACTCAGATGAACACGGGGTTTCTCCAGGGATAACACGACTTGATTTTAAGAGCGTCTATATATGAACCCAAATCAAAACAAACAATAATAATTTAAAAAAAAATACACTGTTACCAGCTTCTCACATATTCTCCCCCGCCCCAGAGGGGGAAAAAAAAAAAAACGCCAGCAATAAAACCAAGGGCAGATTCCACCGCCACTAAAACCATCAAATCCTGACCCTGTCAATGCCGAGGCTGTCAATAATAACCAGGGGCGAGTTTTTCTCGCCTGTTCTGGGAGATCTCGGGGTCAACACCACGTATTGACCCCTCCAGGGCCAAGCAGAAATAAAGGCAAAGCGATGGGGTGGGGGGGAGGGTCCTCGCCAGTCACATCAGAAACCACCTGCTCGAGGTGAGTCGGAACCGGGGCGCCCACTCCCCGTTCCCTTCCCGGCCTCCCCTCCTCGGGAGGGGCTCTCAACTTCACCTGCTCCCCGACTCCCCAGAGAGCAGGTGGGAGCCATCCTCGGAGCCCAGGCACCCGACCTCCAGGTGGCGGGTGGGGGGGTCAAAGCGGAGAAGCCCCCCCCACCTCCACCGCCCACCCAATTCGTCTGCAGACCCAAGAAGCTTCCGTACCCCCGGCCGCCGGCCCCTGAAACTGGGAAAGGTTTCACAGAGAAGCGAGTCTCCGGTCCTTCCTCTACCCACAAGTGGGGTCGAGTGAACCCCCATTTCTTCTCACAGACTTAAGACCGCGGCTAATCCCTTCAGACAAGCGACGGACGGGAGGGAAGGAGTCCGTGTGCCCCTCGGGCGGTAGCCCCAAACCATTTTCACCCAGCCCGCAGCTCACCCCCAGCCGCGGAGACAGCCGCCACCACAGACGCGCCGCAAACCGAGCCCGCAGCCCCCGCGGCTCCGGGCAGCAGCAGGGCCCCGACGCGCGTGCGTGCGCAGAGCCCCGCCCCGCGCCGCCGCCCGCCCCCGCCCCCGCCGTGACCTCATCGGAGCCGGCCAATGGGGTGCGGCCTGGCTCGGCCGCCGCAGTGCAGAGTCCGCGGGGGCGCGCGCGGGGGCGCAGCCGCGCTGACGCCATCTTGTTCTGCGGCTGCGCCGAGGGCGGCCGGCCTGTGGGACTGACCCGGCCAGTGCGCGAGCCGGTGGCGCCCGAGCGCTTCCCAAATTTTTTTTTTCCCCCCCTCATCGACCCCCTCAACCCTCTCACTTCGAGGCAGCGCTGTCTGCGCTTTTTAGTTTATTTTTTTAATTTCTGCCTGCGCTTTTAACGTCCGCCCCGTAGACTGAGTCTCAGTTCCTCTAGAAGTGGCCTGAAGGAAGGGGAGAAACCCCTGAGATGAAGCTTGCACGGAGTCCTGCCTGCCTTCATTTTAGGGGGAGAAAATTTACAACATCAGAATTGGGGGGCCTGGAGCATGTGTCCAGCGAGGAGGGCGTTTGCCTTCTACACGGCTGATTCCCCCCTTCCCCGATAGTCCCTCCAGGAGTGATACCGGAGGGTGTGTCCCCCTAAAAAAAAAAAACCTGAATAAACACCAAAATGGGTAGTGACTTCGAACGAGGGGCTCCTTCTCTTAGTGTGAAAAACCTAAGGTGTAGCTGACCCAGTTGGCTCCGTGGCACTTCAGATGGTCCCCCACGGTAGCCAGGAGTGACCCCAGAGCATCGCAGATGTGACCCTCCCTCCTCCCCAAGCCCAGACCCCTCTGCCCCCTCCAAAAAGGAGTGCTTGAGTTCTGTCCTCTCAACAACTCAAGGCGTTCAACTTCTTTTCAATTACCTTTTGGGGAAAACTAAGATAGTAAAATTTCAATCATGGGACTCCTTGTAAGCCCATATGATCCCTTGGGATTTCTACACTTCAAATTATTTACAAGAATAACTTCATTTTTATTTGATGCAAAAGTGATGGCAGCGTTTATTGATATAAACGCATTTCTTGACTAATGATATTGATTCCTTTGGCCTATTAAGGAACCCCAAGTTCTTCCTAATAACCAGTACTAAATCCGGAAAAACTCGTGAAACTGGTTCTTGGATCTCTGTAGGTGGTGGAACCCTACTGAGATTCAGATCTAATGAGCTATTGCAGATAAAAATCTGATGCAGGTGATATTTGTCAATCTAAAAAAAGAATGTAATCTTGCCTCAAACCTAAGTAATGAAGAGCAAAAGCATCGTTTTCCTGTGAATTTTTTCAGACTTGAGGTTTAGTTGAGAGAGAAGTACCCAGAGAGGTACAGATGTGAGTTTAAGAGAGGAACCCTCACTTGACGGTCTGCCAACTTTTAGAAAACTATTGCACAAATGTCATTTCCTTCCTCTGAAACTCTTTTTTTCTTTTATTATTTTTTGGGATACAGCCGGTGGTTCTCAAGGGTAACTCCTGGCTTTGCACCTCAGAATTACTCCTGGCAGAGCTTGGGGACCACATGGGATGCCCAGGATCAAAATGGGGCTGGCTGAGTGCAAGGCCGAAGTTGCTGAATAATCTTTTCAGCTTCATGAAACTATTTTTTTCTTTTTAATGTGTTTTTAACTTTCGGGTCCGCTGCTCACTAATCACTGACTTTTAATTGTCTGAGTTTTAAGACAATTTGGTCTGGACCCCAATCTCATTACAACTTCCTTTTCCATGCCTTCCTTGAAAACAGGCATGTTTCAAGACTCTGTTTCAGACTCCTGCCATGAATCTTTCTCCAGCGTGTTTCTTTTCCCTCCATGCTCTCTTCCTTGGCAGTTCTGCCTGTTATCAGCTTAAAGGGCTTCAGTGTGGGATGCGTCTTATTTTTCCATCTACCTCCTTTCTCCAAGGCCCAGAATAGTTGAATCATGCCATTCAGGCCACAGATGCTTGGTAAGGGCCTGCTGTGCGGCTGACTAGGTACCAAGCATAGGGAAATGAAACACACAGGCTTCCAGTCTCAGAGAAGGTCCCAGCTGAATAAGAAATGAAGTTCCAATCATTAGGAGAGAGTGGTGAGTGCCATGTAATTAACACTGCACTATGTCAGGCACTTTTCCAAGTGCTTTATAAATAGGAACTCTTTTTATCTTCACCAACAACACTAGGAGGCAGATACTATTATCCCGTTGAACAGATAGGGTGAAATTAAGACACAAGAATTTGCCCAAGGTCACGCAGATCATAAATGGCATTTCCAGGTTTAAACCCAGCCAGTGGGATGCCCTTTCCTGTGTTTCAGAGTATGACACTGTTTGAGGGGTGAACATGTAGCTCAGTGGCAGAGCACTTACCTTGCATATGTGAGGAACTAGGTCTGATTCCTGAAACTGTGAAAAATAAAATAATGAACCATTACTGTCTCTGGAACTAGGGATGGGGCTCAAGAAGTAGGATAGATACCTTGCATGTTAAAGCCCCGGCATGGCTGCCTACCCACCTTCAACCCACCAGTAAAGAGTTCTGTCTCTTAGCCTAAATTAGAATCTTTTGGGAATGGAGAGACAGTATAGGGGGTAGGATGCTAGCATTGCACATAGCCGACCTGGGTTCAATCTCTGGCATCCCATATGGTCCCCTTATCACTGCCAGGAGTAATTCCTGAGGTATCCCTAAGACAGAAGTTACCCCCAAACATCGCCAGGTGTAGCCCAAAAACAAACAAACAAACAAAAGAGAGTCATTTTTTAAAAACTTAGATTGGGGGGGTGCTGGAGTGATAGCACAGCAGGAAGGGCGTTTGCCTTGCACGCGATCAACTCGGGTTCAATTCCCAGCATCCCATATGGTCCCCTGAGCTACTGCCAGGAGTAACCCCGGTGCATCACCAGGTGTGACCCAAAAAGAAAAAAACTTAGATATTTTTTATTATTTTTTTCCTAGTTTCTCTCCAGGCTATATATATATATATACATATATATATATACATACATATACATAAGTATTGCTTCTTCGGTTTCTTCTGCAATATCTTTATGTCTTTTTCATATGTGCAAACTTCTCTTTGGGTTTGGGAACAATCTGCTTTTTCAGAAAGGATCATCTCAGTGTGGCAGGGAGAATTCATATAGGGGTTAATCTGCCCATGAACACTGTAAATTCTGTGGTGCATGTTGGGTGCTTTGTTCATCTGAAAATGTTCAATGACCAGAGTCTACATCTAAACTCTTAAGTTCAGCATTACTCTCTGCATTTTGAAGCATGTGCAGTAAAAATTCAACACTCTTTTTGGACAAATCACCCTGTGTCCAGCCCTGCTGTTTGACCTAGGTGTACCTACTAGACATTTGCCTTGCAAAGGCTGACTCAGGTTTGATCCCTGGTATCCTGAGCACCACCAGTGGTAATTCCTGAGTGCAGAGTGAAGAGTAACCCCTGAGCATTGCTGGGTGTGGCCCAACAACAACAACAAAAAGGAAACAACTGGTACTTTTTTATTTTTTAGCCACACCCAGTTATTCTCAGGGCTTACTCCTGTGTTCAGGGATCACTGAGTACCCGGGAGCACTGCTGTGGGAGGGAAACTACATGAGGTGCCAGGGATAGAACCTGGGTAAGTTGCATACAAAGCAAACATCCCATCTTTCCAGCCTGATATATTCTTTTAACAAGCTTCCTTATGTCCTTCAATCCTTCAATGCCCATCTGAATGCCATGTCTTCTAAAATCTCTCAATATAGACAGCCTGCACCATGGTACATGTCACCCCAGTTATTGCAACTATCTTTACAAGGGGGCAGGTAATCATGATAAATTATATTAAATCAAATCAAACCAAAGAGGGCTGGAAATATAGCTCTAGGGACTGAGTTTGTGTGTGGGAGGTCCAAGTTCAATCTCTAACACCACATGATCCTATAAGCACAGCTAATAGTGACCCCCCCCATGAACATTGCTGATGTGACTCTCAAGCAAACAAATAACAATAAATAATAAAACCAATGAAAATAGCATGCCGTTCTTACTTCAAAGACTCTGAATATTTAAAATAAAATTCTGCTGGGTAGTGTGGTTTGCTTCAGAAGGGATTGTGAGGCTTCCTTGGAAACTGAAAAAAATGTCAGCTTCCTTAACTCTGCTTCTGGAGATATGAATGAGCTGAAGGCATGTGACATTTTCTGCAACTCTTAAGTTTCTTGTGACTGCCACATGAGGCAGGAAGCCTCGACTGTGAGAAAAGAGTGTCAAAGAAGGCTTTTAAAAGCAGCAGAATGTAGAAAACTTGGGCTGGGGAGAAGAAAAAGGATGAATGGGCACAGGACAGAGAATTTCTGAAGGTTTCGGAAAACTTCAATCTTTGTTTCCAGACAGGACATGAGTGAAGGAAATTTCTGAAGTAGAGAACCTAGTAAATACCTCTTGTATTGGGTTTTTATGACTTGGAAAGTAGGTGAGACTCAGGGTGAAGGAATAGATTGGAGAATATTCCTTAGAAAGGATCTGACCAAGTCAGTGATTAACGGATATATCTTAGTTGAACTGTTTTATTCTTAATGCCTCACTTTGTGCTGGGCATTAATATATACTTAATAAAGATTTATGAATAAAAGAAAACAAAACCAAGTAAGAATGTGGTTTTTGAGGCCAGAGCAATAGTACAGCAGGAAGGGTGCTTGCTTTGCATGTGGCTAACCTCAGCACCCCATATAGTCCCCCTAGCCCGCCAGGAGTGATCCCTGAATGCAGAATCAGGAATAAGCCCTGAGCACCGAACCAAAGCAATCACTGTATCACTGTCATCCCGTTGTTCATCCATTTGCTCGAGCAGGAACCAGTAACATCTTCATTTGTCCCAGCCCTGAGATCTTTGCAGGAGAGCCTTACTTGTCCTTCCCAATGGTGCCTTATTGGAGGCTCTTTTAGGGTCAGGGGAATGAGACCCATTATTGTTACTGTTTTTTGGCATATCGAATATGCCACGGGGAGCTTGCCAGGCTCTGCTTTTTTGGCGGGATATTCTGAGT